TTGGGGTGTTTTTCTTTGGTCGTAATTGTCCCAGAAATGAGCATCTTTCATCAAATATTTGTCAACATCCATGATTTGGTGAAATGACTGTTAATATAGTTTATTCTGTGAGAATTTTATTGCAGGGAAACTCAATTAATTGAATGAGAGATGTTAACACTTATTTTTAAGGGTTGGATTTAGGGGAAAATTAATAAAACTGATTTAGTCTCTTTCTCTTCCTCCTCGGTACTTTTATAAGCTCTTCTTAGGATGATTTGTTTATTAACTCATTCATTCATTCATTCATGTATTCAGTCACTTAACATTTACTAGAACTCTACTTGATGTGTATTTTCTATTTTTAACCAATGGAACATACAAAAAGGTGAGGAGAGTAGAGTAAAGAAGAGCAATGTAGAAAAGAACAGGCTAAAAAGTATGAAAATGGGACAACTAATTTTATGAAAATATGTTTTGAGGAGTTCACCCACATCCACAGGGTTTAAAGTAATTCACTACCTTCAAATTACACCTTAGCAATATAAGGGCACTAAAACACTAATCTATCTACATTATAGGGAGGTTTTTTTTGTATTTGTACAGAATTTTAAATTTTAAATTTACTGTGATAGGAACACTGGCATGGGATCTACCCTCTTAAATTTTTGTATGTACATTATTGTTGACTGTGGGCATGAAGTTGTACACCAGATCTTTAGAGCTTAGTCACTTGCTTGACTGAAACTCTATGCCCAGTGGTTAATTACTCCCCATTTCCCCTTCCCCTCAGCCCCTGGCAACTACTAGCCACTCTCTGATTCTATGAATTTGACTGTTTAAGATACATGGAATTATGCAGTATTTGTCCTTATGTGACTGGCTTATTTCCTTTAGCATAATGTCCTCAAGGTTCATTCATATTGTAGCATATTGCAAAATTTCCTCTTTTAAAAAAGATTCAGTAGTATCCCATTGTATGTATATACCACATTTTCTTTATGCATACATCTGTCAATGGACATTTAGGTTGTTCCCACACCTTGGATATTGTGAACAGTGCTACAGTGAATGTAGGAATGCTAATGTCTCTTCAAGATCCTGATTTCAATTATTTTGGATAAGTACCCAGAAGTAGGTTTGCTGGATCATATGGTAGTAATATTTTTAATTTTTTTTTTTGAGGCATCTCCATATTGTTTTTTAAAGCAGTTGCATCATTTTGCATTCCTGCAAGCAGTGTGCAAACATTCCAGTTTCTCCACATCCTTTTCAACTCTTGTCATCTTTCTTTTCTTTTATTGATAGTAGCCAATCTGACTACTATCAAAACAAGAAAAGTGGTGGGAGGTGACACCTCATTGTGGTTTCATTATTTGCATTTTCCTGATGCTTAGTGGGGTAGCTAGTCTCGGCTGCCGCCCCTGACCTCCAACGTGGGGGATCAATGCAGAGATCTAGAGGAAAACAACAGAATGGTAAAGACTAGAGATCTCTTCAAGAAAATTCGAGATACCAAGGGAACATTTCATGCAAAGATGAGTTTGATAAAGGACAGAAATGGTATAGACCTAACAGAAGCAGAAGATATTAAGAAGAGGTGGCAAGAATACACAGAAGAACTGTACAAAACAGATCTTCATGACCCAGATAATCACGATGGTGTCATCACTCACCTAGAACTAGACATCCTAGAATGTGAAGTCAAGTGGGCCTTAGGAAGCATCACTACCAACAAAGCTAGTGGTGGTGATGGAATTTCAGTTGAACTATTTCAAATCCAGAGAATAGCAAGGAGAAATAAGAAGGCCTTCTTAAATGAACAATGCAAAGAAACAGAAGGAGACAATAGAATGGGTAGGACTAGAGATCTTTCCAAGAACATTGGAGCCATCAAGGGAACAATTCATGCAAGGATGGGTACAATAAAGGACAGAAACAGTAAGGGCCTAACAGAAGCAAAAGAGATTAAGAGGAAGTGGTAGGAGTACACAGGAGAACTATACAAAAAAAGGTCTTAATGACCCAGACAACCATGGTGGTGTAGTCACTCACCTAGAGCCAGACATCCTGGAGTGTGAAGCCAANGAAGAATTGATGCTTTTGAACTGTGGTGTTGGAGAAGACTCTTGAGAATCCCTTGGACTGCAAGGAGATCCAACCAGTCCATCCTAAAGGAGATCAGTCCTGGGTGTTCATTGGAAGGACTGATGCTGAAGCTGAAACTCCAATACTTTGGCCACCTCATGCGAAAAGTTGACTCATTGGAAAGGACCCTGATGCTGGGAGGGATTGGGGGCAGGAGGAGAAGGGGACAACAGAGGATGAGATGGCTGGATGGCATCACTGACTTGATGGACATGAGTTTCAGTAATCTCTGGGAGTTGGTGATGGACAGTGAGGCCTGACATGCTGCAATTCATGGGGTTGCAAAGAGTCGGACACAACTGAGTGACTGAACTGAACTGATGCTTAGTGACAAGCATTTTTTCATATACCTGTTGGTCATTTGCATATTTTCTTTGAAGAAATGTACATTCAAGTCCTTAGCTCATTTTAAAATCAGATTGTTAGTTTCATTACAATTGAATTTTTGGAATTCCTTATATATTTTGGAGATCCACTCTTTATTGGATATATGGTTTACAAGTATTTTCTCCCACTCCATAGCCTGCCTTTTCACTCTGTTGATTGTTTCCTTTTCTGTACAGAAGATTTTTGGTTTAATATAGTGCCACTTGTTTATTTATATTTTTGCTGCCTTTGTTTTGGTGTCATATCCATTAAATCATTGTAAAATCCAATGTCATGAAGTTTTTCCCCTGTGTTTTCTTGTAGGGTTTTTTTAGTTTTGAATCTTATGTTTAAGTCTTTAATCCCTTTTGAACTGGCTCTTGTTTGTGGTATAAGATAAAGGTGCAGTTTCATTCTTTTGCATGTTTTCCTAGCACCATTTGTTGAAGAGACTTTCCTTTAAACATTGTGTACTTTTGGCATCCTTGTCAAAGATTAGTTTGCAGAATACATATGGATTTATCTCTGGGTTCTCTGTTCAGTTCCACTGGTCTATATGGCCATATTTTTGACACTACCATACTATTTTGATTACTATAGCTTTGCAATATAGTTTGAAATCAGAAAATGTGATGCTTCCAGATTTGTTCCTCTTTCTCAAATTTATCATCCTTATGGTTCCATATGAATTTTAGAGTTGTTTTTTCTATTTCTGTAAAAAAAAATGTCATTGAGATTTTGATAGAAATGTATTGATTCTGTAGATTGCTTTGCATAAAATGGACATCTTAATATCATTACTTCTTCTAAGGAAGTGAAGTGAAAGTCGCTCAGCCATGTCCGACTCTTTGCCACCCCATGGACTGTAGCCTGTCAGGTTCTCTGCCATGGAATTCTCCAGGTCAGAATACTGGAGTGGGTAGCCATTCCCTTCTCCAGGAGACCTTCCAAACCCAGGTCTCCTGCATTGCAGGCAGATTCTTTACCAACTGAGCCACAAGGAAAGCCCAATGAACATAATATATTTTTTAATTTGTTTGTGCCTTGTTTAATTTCTTTCATCAATGTTTTGTAGTTTTCAACAAACAAGTCTTTTACCTTCTTAAATAAGTTTAATCCTAGATATTTTATAATCTTGGTGATAGTGTAAATGGGATTGTTTTCCTAATTTCCTTTTTGTATAGTTCATTATTAGTGTATAGAAATGCAACTGATTTTTTGTATTTTGATACTGTATCCTGTAACTTTACTGAATTTTTTTATTAGTCTGACAATTTTTAATGGAGTCTTCAGGGTTGTCTATATATAAAATTTGCCATCTGCAAACAGAAAATTTTACTTTTTCCTTTCTGGTGTGGATGCCTTTTATTTATTTTTCTTATGTAATTTATCTGGCTAGGATTTTCAGTACTGTTGAGAGTGAGTATCCCTGTCTTGTTCCTGATCTTAGAGGGAAAACTTTCAATTTTTCATTGTTGGGTATGATATTAGCTATGAAGTTTTCATATATGGCCTTCATTATGTTGAGGCTATTTCCTCTAATTATAGTTTGTTGGGAGTTTTTATCATGAAAAGGTGTTGAATTTTGTTGTCTATTGAGTGGTTATGTGATTTTTATTCTTCAGTCTATTAATGTGGCATATCAGTTAATTGATTTTTGTATGTTGGACTATCCTTTGCATCCCAGGTAAAAATGCCTCTTAGTCATGGTATGTGATCCTCTTAATGTGCTATTGAATTAAATTTGCTAGTATTTTGTGAGGATTTTTGCATGTAAATTCATCAGGGATATTGGCTTATAATTTTCTTGTGGTGTCTTTGTCTGGCTTTACAATGCTAGCCTCATAAAATGAGTTTGGAAGTGTGCCCTCTCCTTCATTTTTTGGGGGAGAGTTTGAGAAGAATTGGTGTTAATTCTGACTTAAATGTTTGGTAGAATTATCCTGTGGAGCCATCTGGCCCTGGACTTTTCTTTGGGAAATTTGCAGTTACTGATTCAGTCTCATTACTAGTTGTAAAACTGTTCAGACTTTATTTAGTCCTCTGGGGATCTCCTTGGAACATTTGGGGCTCTAAATGCATAAACCATCTCTTCCCTTCTGAGTGAAGTTGAGGGGTAGGGTATCTCCTCCTTGTTATGCTAAGCCAGGAGCAGTGTCTCTGGTGAGAGATGTTTTGAACCTCACTACTGACTTGGTGAGTCTGGTTTTACATTCTCCAGGATGCAGGAAACTGTCAGTTGGTTTCCGATTTCTCACAAAGGGAAATTGTCTATAAATTGTTGCTGTATTGCTGTGTTTGTAGGGGGAAGGAGGACTTTATCTGCCATCTGGCTGACTTCACTCTTCTGGGGAGAACAATATTTATAACTACTCTCAATTTTGCTCATTATAAAATTTTAATGGAAAAGGTAGTTTTGGCGGGGGGGGGCACTGATATTCAGAATACTTATTATAAATGACTTAAAATTATTTTAATTTTATTGACATTTTCTTTATTCCATTTAGATAACTTGAAATTTCCCATTTCAATACGTTCTGAGCCCTGTATAACATTGAAGGGAAGCCGTGGAATCCTGTATCTCTACTTCATTCCAAGTAAGTCCAAAATTTTGTTCTTGTAGATCAATTAAAAGAGCTCCAGAAATATCAGTGATAAATGATGGAGTTCTAAATATATGTGTACTAGTTTTCTATTGCTATGCAACAAATTACCATCATCTTAATGGCTTAAAACAATAAGATTCTTTATCTTACAGTCTTTGTGTGTCAGTAGTCTGGCCATGGCTTAGCTGTGTCAGCTTCAGAAGGTCTCCCCCAAGGCTGCAGTCAAGATGTTGGCCAGGGTTTCTTCTGAAGGCTCAACTAGGAAAGAACCCATTTCTATCTAAGCTCAGGTGGTTGTTTACAGTGTTCAGTTTCTGTCTGGCTCTTGGCCAGCTTTCAGTTCCTTGCTCTCTGGGCCTTTGCAACATAGCTTCTTGTTTCCTTGAAATTAACAAGGGGGACAGTTAGCTAACAAGAAAGAAGTCAGTCTTATATAGCCTAATGATGAAAGTGCCACCCTATTATCTTTGCTATTTTCTATATTTTAGAATCAAGTCACTAGGCTTACTCACACTCATGAGGGGGGATTATATAATGGCATGGTAAAAATGGAAACAATTTGAAACTTCTAAACATCTACTACCTATATCCTTTGTTAGCTATTCAGCTGATAAGTAAAGTTGGGTTTTCATGAGTCAAAGATTTGTATATGAGCGATCCAGGACTTCTTTTTTTCCCTAAAGGTGAACTTTCTAAAAAAAAAATATGGTGATGATGACATGAAAATAAGCATTGCTTTTTGTTTTGTTTTATTTCTTTTCTTTTCTCTCTCTGATTTTATTTGCTATCATCTTAGTAAAAGTTAATTGGATGATGGTGATAGCATTGAGCTGGATCTGAGGCTCTGTGAAAATACACAAAACTTTCTTCCTGGGACTTCTCTGCTGGTCCAGAGGTTAAGAATCTGCCTGCCAATGCAGGAGACACAGATGCGATCTCTGGTTTGTCAGACAAGATCCCACAAGCTGCCGTGCAGCTAAGCCTGTGCGCCACAACTACCGAATCTGTGCTTTAGAGCTTGTGAACTGGTATGCCTCTGGGGCCCATACTCTGCAGCAAGAGAAGCCGCTGCAATGAGAAGCCCCTGCTTGCCACAGCTAGAGGAAGACCATGTGCAGCAGTGAAGACTCAGCAGAGCCAAAACATCCCCCTAAACCAACTTTCATCCTTTCCTACCAGTCAATTGTGGCCGGTAAAGATCCCAGGAAACTTCGGTTGTAATCATCTTTGTCATTATTGGTTTTTCATCATCACCATTATCATTTACATCCTAGCTTATATTTGGAGTTTATACTTTTAAAAAGTGCTTTTATATAAATAAGCTTAAGAAATATTTATTCATGAGTTTAATTCTCCAGCTTATAGGAACAAGGGTAGTTGAGAATGCAGAAATGATAGATAATAAACATGTTTTAATTTTCCTGAATCTAATCATTTAATCTGTATCCTGATACTTTGTTTCTGTGTTAATTTATTCATTTAAAAATACTTAGTAAATGTGTAGTTTATTTCAAATATTATGGTATGTACTGTGAATTCATTGATAAGTAAGACATTCTCTTGACCTTCAAGAATCTCTCAGTGCAATGGGAGAGACAGAGCTGTAGATAATAAAGTACGATAAAGTGAAATGATAGCAATAAGGCTTAGTGGTAGCACAGAGGAAAGAATAATGAACTGTTTGCTCCACTTTCTTAGCCAAGGGTGAAAGCAATAATCTAAACTTTTTTAACTGAACTGTAGTTGATTTACAATATTATAGTAATTTCAGGTGTACAACATAGTGTTTCAGTTTTATAGGTTACAATTCATTTAAAGTTATTACAAAGTAATAGTTATATTTCCCTGTGCTGTATGATATATCCTTGTTGCTTATTTTACACACAGTAGCATGTATCCCTTAATCTCCTAAAATAATCTAAATTTTTGCCCAACGAAAGCTCTACAATTTCTTCCTCTTTTTCTCAGGTTTTGTTTTCTGGTTTGTGTGGTGTGCTTTATCCCACACACCACAAATACGTTTGTGGTGTTTGTGTGTGTTTGCAGAAGTGATTATTTACATAATGAATGACCTCATTTTCAAGTAAGCGCATTGCCCTTACACACAGGAAGCAGACCTTCCAGATCCAAGTAATAATAATACAACACAGTTTTACTTAGGGTTCTCTGAAATGCAGATACCGAGAAAGAATTAGACATACAAGGGATTTTTTGCAGGGTGTGGGGGAGGGGGAGGGAAATTCTTATGAACAGTAAAGGAAAGAGGAAGCCAGAGCAGGCAAGAAGATTCAGATTGAGGTATTGGGTTGGCCTGATAGTTTTGAAATGAGAGAGGAGAAAGGAGAATTTGGTAGGATGATCATCGGATTAAAGTGAATCCCTGAGACACCCTCAGCAAGTTAAGTGGGGAGCCTTCTGCATGTCACATGTGTCCCATGACAGGCAGGAGAGGACTGGTTCTGGTGTCACCGTCATCACAGGAGCAGACCGTGAGGGTCTGCTCTCTGAAAGTGCGGTAGCTGGAGGCTCTCTGCCTACTGCCCTCCTCCTCACAGATTCTTTGGAAGGGAGTTTTGAGCAGTACACCACCAAGGCCACCACAAATACCTTAATCATTTAGTAGATATGACATCTATGTAACATTATATTAATTCAGTAATTAAAATATCATTTGGTCATATTTTTTATAATGCTTTCCTTTTACGACCTGGGTTCCCCTAGATTATACTAGAACATCTGTGTGAAATCGTGGGCCATATTAATAGAAATCAACCGTTATTTTTGTGGCCCTATCTCTACTTAAATTCAGTAAGAGCTATAACCGTAATCTTGAACCAGAAATAGGTTAGGAATGGAAATCATTTATTTTAAGACTTCATAGCCTTGCTTATAAAATTGTATGTCACTATTAACAATTAACTAATTGTTAATTAAAACAATTAATTGACAAATACAGCTGGATTATACACCTTCCTCAAAGTTATTTCCAGAAGTTCCCCAAATTTTTCTTGGTTGGGTTCAAAACAGTCCTCTTCACCAAAGCTTCAAGAGCCACCATGTCCCAGTCTGTCACTCCAATATCAACATCCCTGAGCTGCTGAGGCATGCGAGTCGTACTTCACTTTGACCATTGTTCACGGTGACCACAGTGAACTCTAACATGACCACAGTGATGTCTAAGGGCAAGACGCTTCTCAAGATGTAAAGTATCGAGATGTCAAAGCAACACTTTCTTTCTTGGAATCACTGAAGCCTAGAATCAGTGTGTTCCACACAGAAATGGAAGAAGCTTCTTTGTTCTGCATCATCATTGGATGCCATGCTACCATGTGCCTTTATCTCAAGACATCCCCCATGAAAGCAGGTCTTCAACTTCCATACACATTCCTGCTTTGAGAGAGGTTCAGGTCCAAGTCCATGGAGTGTACCATGGGGGCCACTATTTGAAACAGACTGTATGATGTTCTCCTTCTCTACACTTAACCCTGAAAGGAGAGAAATGGAGACAAATAAGGAAGTTTGCTGGTACTTTAGGCTCAGAGTAATGAGGACCTGCATTAAGATAGTGGTAATGGGGATGAAAGGAGGCCAGTAGAATTTACCAGGATTAGGAATTCTAGTGCTGATTTGGTAATGAAGATGAAGAAATCAATTTGGGATCTATTGGGGGTGGTAATAAGTGACATTTGAGTAGAGATATTGAATAAGGTTGAGTAGAGATATTGAATAAGCACAGAGGACAGGCACTCAAAAGAAAAGTTGAGACCAAACATGATGATTTGGAAGTTACTACCCTTTGTGGTATTTAAAGCTGGGGAGAGTGTGCAGTGTGAAATTAAGAAGCACTGAAGTTAGAACCCTAAGAAAGATGAGTCAACAAGCTAGACTGGGGAGAGGAGTCAGGTTTAAGGACGACAAGAAGAGAGTGGCAGCACCAACACCAAAGGAAGAACAGTGTTTTGAGAAAGGAGGTGACAGTTCTGTTAAGCATAGTCAAGTTCAAGGTAAAGATAGAAAAAAAATTTTTTTTTACTATGGCTGCAATGAGCCCTGGTGACCTTATTAGGAAAATATGTTCCACAAAGTAGTGGTTATAGTACTTGTTTTCATTATATAAAAGGTTGTACATCTTGTCCAGTTGGGCCAACTGAATAACAGTAGAAATGAGCCAAATGCATTTCTTCCTGGAATTTTCCATGTTCATTGGTAATAAGGAGATCATAAGGAAACAATAAAAAGTTGATCTATTTAAGTTGTAATCAATGGGTTCAATTTTGTCCTCCAAGAAATCTTTCATCAAAACTACTAAAACGTGGGCATGAGTTGATTGTGATTTTGAGAAAGGAGGTGACAGTTCTGTTAAGCATAGTCAAGTTCAAGGTAAAGATAGAAAAAAATTTTTTTTTTACTATGGCTGCAATGAGCCCTGGTGACCTTACTAGGAAAATATGTTCCACAAAGTAGTGGTTATAGTACTTGTTTTCATTATATAAAAGGTTGTACATCTTGTCCAGTTGGGCCAACTGAATAACTTAGAAGAAATGAGCCAAATGCATTTCTTCCTGGAATTTTCCATGTTCATTGGTAATAAGGAGATCATAAGGAAACAATAAAAAGCTGATCTATTTAAGTTGTAATCAATGGGTTCAATTTTGTCCTCCAAGAAATCTTTCATCAAAACTACTAAAACGTGGGCATGAGTTGATTGTGATTATTGTCATTTCTCTCCCTTCCCTTTCTTTTGAATCTGTGGAACAGTGGAACTGTGACAACAATCAGAAATTTTGTATTCTCAGTTTGATAGTTTTCTCAAAAATATAGATTCTTCTATTTTTTGGCATAGCACAGATAATTCTCACTGTGGAACATTCTATTTGATTACAATTGACTAGTGGACCTCTCAGAACTACAGTTTTCTCATCTACAAAACAGGATAATGGTATCCATATTACAGGTAGTTATGATGATTAAATGAAATAATGTAGGAAAAGCACAAGGCATATTTTAAGTATACAGTCAATGTTGGTTATTAAACATTTATAAAAAAATAACCTTATTTGAAGGGCTAATGATTTTTTTTTCTCTTTAAGGAAGAGATATAAAAAGCTTGTATTTCAATATCTATCTATCTACTAAGTCCATGAATTTCCCATTGCGCAAAGAAGTTATTTGCCGAGGATATGATGATGATTTTTCCTTTTGCAGAGCTCTGAAGGGAGGTAAGCATTCAATTCATATTACTCTCAGAATAGAATATAATGTCTTATGAGAGTGCTGTGAAAATTAAATACTTAAAAAATGTGAAGTTCCTTTTCTAATAATAATTTTTCATTTTCACCCAATGTTTTTATTTTAGCAGCTTAAACAACATTTTACAATTATGTTATTGGATTATTATTAAGATGACACTTATTTGGGTGTGTTTGAAGAGATATTAAAATTTTTACCTTGTTTAGATTAACATTGTACGTTTACCCTTCGTTATGGTTCTTGTTTTCTAAAGATTGCATTTATTATTTTTCATAAAAACACAGTAGCTTTTTCTATATAGTTACATTGGTTCCTTCAATGTCTTTTCTCCCTCTTTTTCCACCTGGAGTTATTCACAGAATCATAAAATTTCAAAGTTTAGGACCTTAAAGATAATTATTGCAAACCCATGAATTTTTCCATAATAATTTTTAAGGTAGTATTTTAAATAGTTAAAAAATTCTATATATTATATTTTCACATTATTAAAAATTGGAAAGCATAAACAATTAGAAAAGTCTACCCCAGGTTAGGGAACTAAGATCCTGCAAGACAGCAGCTTGCCCCCTTCCCTGAACAAAATGTTTTTAAGTGAATCAATCTCTTGCTACACAAATGAAGCTTCAAGATGTGTTTCCCAACCAACCATCTCTCCTCATCTCTAACTTGTCTGCCACTCCCAAGCCACATACACATTGTGGAGCTGGCATTGTTATGAGTCTGGGTTCAGAGTTATAAAGACCTGAGTCAGTGTCCCAGCTTTTCCACCGACCGGCAATGTGGCCTTGGGTGTTATTTAACCTCTGTCAACCTCACTTTCCTCCTCTGAGAAATGGGGACAAGGAAACCTATTTTATGTGGCTTTAAGGATAAAATTAGAGAATCTGTGTTTTAAAAAAAATGTGTTTAAAAAAGATTTTAGTAGAGTGCTCAGTGTGAGAATCAAGAATTATGGTGATTAAGTATGTATTTTTGTTCCTGACTTTATAGTCCTGTCATTTTTATAAGGGAGGAAACTGATGTCTGCAGTGGTTCAGCAATGTGCCCTTGGTCTTTTGGAGATCTGGTAATGGAGTAGCCTCTAAGAACTGCTCTTCCACTGGACCATACTTTCTTTCTCTTTGAAAGAAATCCCTGGGAATTCTCTGGTGGTTCAGTGGTCAGCGCTCTGCACTTCCATTGCAGGTAGCGTGCGTTTGATCCCTGGCCAGGGAACTAAGTTTCTGCAGCTGCGTGACATAGCCAAAACCCCCCCCCCCCCCAAAAAAAAACCACCAAAAAAGCAACAATGACCAAAAAAAAGTGAAAGATATTCTCTTGACAGATTACTGTTTAAAAAGTGTGCCTTTCTCTCATACAACAGTTTTACAATTACTTAATCTCTGTGATTATGTTGACATTTATATGAATTTTTGAAGTCTCGCTTTTTTATGATTGAAGATGTATCAGACTCAACCCAGACTGCCTGCTTCTTCCCACTTCCCTTCCTTCCTTCCACAAACATCTGTTGAACCTAATCTGAGCAAATCATGATTTTGGTTGTGGTGATTCAAAGTCCATCTATAGGTTCTCTTTCTTCAGGTCACCTTGTTCTGGGAAAGATAGTCATGGCAACAAATGTTAGAGTGAAATGTCATAAATGCTAATAGATTATATGCTCTTAGTTTTAATTGCATAGTTATCAACTTACTATGACAGGAGAACTCAAGAGGCTTCAGAGACTATTTTATTAGTCTTAAATCTGAGAACCCTAGAGAGTGAGGAAAAAGGACATTCCCTGAGATGAAACAGCATATGCAAACTTGTCTAGCCAGGAAAGAATATAGTTTATTTAGAGAGTAGCTTTTTTCAAAAAAGTTTTTATTAAATTATTTGGCTGCACTGGGTCTTAGTTGCGGCATGTGGGATCAAGTTCCCTGACCAGGGATCAAACCCAGAGCCCCTGCGTTGGGAGCATGGAGTCTTAGCCACTGGACTACCAGGGAAGTCCCTGGAGAGTAGCTTTTTCTTTTTTTTTTTTTTGTAGTCAAGCAGAATATGTTTGTGGGAAATTGGAGATGAACCTAGAAAAGGGGCTAGGGTAGTGTAAGTCATGGATTAAATACTGGCTTGAATCTTGTTGTTAGTGGGTAGGGGTGACCCAACAAGATTTCCATTTTTGCAGATAACTAGTGTCTCTGTGGGGAGAAGGCAATGGCACCCCACTCCAGTACTCTTGCCTGGAAAACCCCATATGACTGAGCGCCTAAACACCAGGATAGGATGGAGGAGTTACTTAGGTAGTTTGCCTACTCCTTTGGTGGTGTTGAGTGCCGGGGACAAAAGCACAGTACCCTACTTTTGCTCCCAACATCCTGGTTTTGCTCCTGGCTCTTCAGAAGTGGCGGTTGGGTTTTTTTTTTTTGGCCTTTTTGTATCCTGTTGTCCATAATTTGCCCCAACTGCGAATGCTTGCAGTTATTTTTAGTCCCTTAGAGTATCTTTCTGTTTTGTTGCTAGAGGAGACATTTGTCCAGGTGTAGGTACTATAGCAAAGGCTCCCAGGTCCCAACGTGTCTCAGAAGGAGGTGGGTTTGGGCTGAGGTAAGAAACTTGGATGGAAGGAAATACAGCAGGGAGGCTGTGTACGGGACCACGAGGGAGGCCCTGGGAGTAAAGAGAAGGAGACAAAAGAGTGTTTCGGGAGACAGGAGTGGTGGGACTGATGTGGCAGGTAAACATCAAATAAATCAAGAACTGCTCCAGGGTGCTGATTGGATGGATAGACGTGCCATGATTGGAAATGATGTGTGTAAAAGGAAGGGACAGATTTTTAAAGAGAAAGATAGTGGGTTCTTGTTTGGCATGTTGGGCTTAAGGTAATTTGGGAACATTCAGATAAAGAAACTCACTTGGCAGCTAAGTACATGGGCCTAGAGATTAGGACATTCTGATTTAAGAAGCACTGATGCTATGGACAGACCTTTGAAAATTTGCGAGTCAAATGAGTAAGGAACATACTCAACGACTCGTTGTTGTTACAAAGGTCATACATTTTTAGAATGTGATACTTAGAGAATATGGGCGAGTGAAGAGAAAAATTACACATACTCTTTCCACTTCTTACACACAAACACACACACACATCTTCATTTCTTTCAAAAAGACATTTATGAATAAATAAGTGGATATTTCAAAGGCATTTTAAATTTAATGTCTGTTAGCCCTGTTTTCAGGATATTGCTAGGGTTTCTGTAACAAAGTACCAAGAACTGGGTGGCTTAGAACAACAGACTGTGGTCTAACAGCTCTGGAAGCTAGAAGTCAGAGACCCTGTTGGCAGGGCTGTGCTCCCACTAAAGGCTCTTGGTTAGGAAGGATCTGCTCCAGGCCTCCCTCCTAGCTCAGGCAGCCTGAGGAGACTCTTGCCTTGTAGATGACCAACTTTCTCCTGTGTCTTCTTGTGTGGTCTTCCCTCTATACATGTTGGTCTGCGTGTCCATATTACCCCTTTAAGAACACAGTCATATTCAATTAAGACCCACCTTAATTACCTCATCTTCACTTGACCATCTGCAAAGATCCTATTTCCAAATAAGTCAGTGTTCAAGATACTGGGGGATTGGACTTGAATATCTGTTGGGGGGACACTTTGCAACCCATAACGCCATCTGAGGCTTGGGTCCTATGTGCTTCATAGTTGCAGGGAAACCTGGATGGGACCACTAGTGAGCTACGTGGATACCTTTTGGGAAGAACAGAGAAGGGTCTAAGCTGAGGTTCTGTCTTCCTTTTCTCTAACTGCCTTGTTTCTCTTTTGGCTTCTTCAAGAGGCTTCACACTAACTCCCTATAAGAGGAGAATGGGAGATATGTCTTTCTTGGAAAGAAAAACAGTTGAAAAAGAGGGCTATCCCACAGAAGAGGTTAGAGCTCCTTCTTCCCACCTGACCTGGTCGACATTCAGGCAGATATTCCAAATAGAAATTTGGGAGTTACTTTTTTTTTGGCTGCACCATGCAGCATGCAGATTCTTAGTTCCCCTGACCAGGGATCAAACCCGTGCCCCCTGAAGTGGAAGCATGGGGTCTTAACCATCAGAAAAGTCCCTTGGGAGCTGCTCTTGATTTCTTCCTCAGACTCTAGTCCCATCCATCACTCTCTCTCACGAAGTTGGCAGTGTTCACTTCACAACCAGGGCCACATACTCAGGAGGTCTTCACATTTGGGCTTTACTATTCTGGGATCGCAGCCTTGAGATTTTTAGTCATTTTATCTTTGAGCGTGTGTTTTGTATACAAAGTGTGATGGGACAGTGGTATATGTGCCCACCTAGCCCGGACAGGTTCTTGGCTTCCTGCTGTTCACCGTCCTGTTAGCACCCTGGTCCCTTCCTGGCATCCCCTATCTTGTCCCATCTGGGGACACCTGTTACCCTCTACCCCGGTCGAAGCCTGGAGCTGGGAGGGTCAGGGTCAGGCACGGTGTCCTGCAGTGTCTGGGGGGGGGGGTATGGCAGTGACCACCCCACCTGGACTGGCTGCACCGTGGCAGTGTTTAGTGGGTGACTAGATGAGGACCAGACGGCCTCCTCTACAGCAGGTAATTTATGGAGGTGTTTTAGGGAGGTTGCAAAACCGTTGAGGGTCATGTGTGGGTCTGCAGGCCTGCGGTGGAGATCGGTGCCTGGTTTGGCTTCCCTGCCCTCCTCTGGAGTATGAGACATCTGACAGCAGCAGGGGGATCCTGTCAACCAGCTGTCAGGCCCACAGTTTGCACCTACCCTCAACGCCATCTCCCATCATTATGGAGCAGCCCCTGGGTGCCTGCGAACTTCTACACTTACCTTGCGACTGGTGCAGGGAACATTGCCTCAGATTCTTCTATGCCTGGAGGACCTTCTCAACCTCCTTCTGAATTTTCTGTCTGGCTTGTAACAGTTTCTTCTGACCTGCTTCAGGCACCTTCTGGGAATGAGCCATGAAATACAAATTGTGAAACTTCAGTGATTCTCTCCTTGGAGTTAAATGCTCTGATATTTGTGTTTACAATTGACATTATACAATATAAAGAGGAATGGTAAAATTCATGCTAATAATTTAAAATTTTATTTTATTTTGAAGAGATTAAATAGCAAATTAAAACTACGGCAGTAACTGTAGTTAGCACTGCTGTGTGGTTTATTTGTAAGTTGCTAAGAGAGTAGATCCTGAAAGATCTTATCACAAGGGAAAAAAAAACTCTTTTTGGTTTTATGAGGTGATGAATTACTGTGGTAATTATTTAGCGCCATGTGTAACTCAAGTTATTATGCTCTACACCATATACTTCTGTGCTGTGTCGATTACATCTCAGTAAAACTGAAAGAAAAAAAGATTAAAAAACTATCATGACAAATCTGGAGAGAGAGAGACTGTGAAAGAAAGGAAAAACTTTGTATTTTGGTATCTTTAATGAATGTTTCCCCAGATTTCTGAATAAGTTCCCCCTCCCATTTTCTTTCTTTTTTAAAATTATGTTTAATTGCTTATTTGGCTGTGCTGGGTCTGTTGTGGCCTGTGGAATCTAGTTCCCTGACCAGGGATCAAACCTGGGCCCCTACACTGGGAGTGGTCTTAGCCCCTAGACCATCAGGGAAGTCCCTGGGTCCCTATTTTCATTTTGTGCTTAGCCTTGCAAATTATGTAGCTGGTCTTAGAGCCAGGTACGCAGGGGGCCAGGTAGTACCAAGAGCTGGAAATTCAGAAGTGACCAAAGCACAGCCCCTGTCCTCATGGAGTTTGTAGAGCAGTGGAGGAAACAAGATGGTCACTAAGTCATGAAAGAAGATAAAGATGAAAATGAAACAAGGTTCATTTTACAGTAAGTGCTCTCAAGGAAAGCAGCAGGATGACTAGGTAGAGCGTGATGAGGAAGGTTACCCGAGGTGGAGGTCATGAGGGGTGTTTACCTCCTGTCTCTTCATCAATATCACTGCCTCCTGGGCTCTGACTGGTCTCCCTGACTTTTAGTGTCCCCTTAAATCCAGCTACTGTACAGTCATGTGACTCAACTCTCTAAACAAATTCTGACTAATTCACACCCTTGGTTGTTTCCCTATCACCACCATTCTCTTCCTGTGGAGTCTGAGTCAACTCATGCTAACTTCTTCACACTCCTGCTGTCTCTTTGCTTTTATAACACTGAGCCCCTTTCAGGCATACCTGTAAACTATCAGTATATTGATTTTCACCTTCCTGCCTTTGCTCCTCTTTTTCCAGTCACCTGGAATATACTCCCTACCTACCTTCCCATCTTTTATGTGAGTTCAATTGTCATAATAACATTAACATCAATGAGAATATTAATTAACATCATTGATAATATTAATAAGAGCATCATTATTATTCACAAGATGCTATGGGGGTTGTAGAAAGGAGTAACGTTTAGTGTTGTAATAGATAACATTTGAATGTTAATAACATTTAATGAGACATTGTTCTGAGCACTTACATGTATTAACTTCTCTAGCTCGTGTCTACACGGTATGTCACCTGCCGTATCAGTAAACAGAGGATGTTGTGGCCATTAAACCATCAGCCACTGCAGCTGCTCCCTCCCCTTCCCTCTAAAGTAGACTGTGAGGGGATTCAGGATGGAGAAAACAAGATACTGGCCCTCAGATCTAGGGCATGTCTGAGGTACACACCAAAGGAAAGATTCAATGAGCATCTTCCCATACATAGAAAAGTGCTAAATTCATGAACCTGAGATGTCTAGATTGTATTTAATAGGAATCTTTTGATGTTCCAACTACCTCAGTTTTTTTTTTTTTTTTTGCAAGAATTCGTATGTATTCTGGCTCCTCCCTTATCTCTTTGGAGCAGTCCCTCTGAGCTATCTGAGAAGCTGTCTTCAGGGCTTAAGTCCCCAGTATGTCTACCGTATAAAATACAGTTCTCAACTATAGGTTGTGCATGTTTTTCAGTCGACACCCTCATAGTAATCCTATGAAATAGATGTTATTGTCTATCATCATTTCGCTGAGGCACAGACAAGTTAAGTGACTTGCCCAAGGTCACATACTGTTTAAGTAGAGGAGCTGGGATTGAAATTCAAGCAGGTCAGGCCCCAGAAGCATCACTCTTCATAAAAATACTATCCTGCCTTCATCCTTACTGCATGTTTTCATCACACAGTGAATTTGTGTTGGTTTATTTGCACGTCTATATTCCAGGAGAGTTTAACTCTTTGAGGGGAAGGATGGTATTGTACTAACCTTGTCTCCCGTGTCCCTGGTGCATAGTAGGCTTTCAATCAATATTTGTTGAACTATTAAATTTGAATTCAATTTAATCTTGAATGAAAGATCCTCAGATCATTAAGATATGGTCACTTTACTGAATTCAAGAGCCAATTTTCTCAATGTATGAGCACCGCTAAGAAGAATACTCCCAGAAGCAAATAAATAAATCCTTATTTGGGAAAAAGAAGGTATAGATGCAGACGTTATCCAATCATTTGCTGTTAAGGATTGTCTTTAGCTAACTCAGAGAACAGTAATCATTATAGTTTGCATTTGGCTATTTTTATTACTTTAGAAAAGATTTTTGGGGCTTTCCTGATGGTTCAGTGGTAAAGAATCTGCCTGCCAAGGTGGGAGACACAGGTTCAGTCGCTGGTCCCAGAAGATCCCACATGCTTCAGAGCAACTAAACCTGTGTACCACAACTATTGAGCCTATGTTCTAGATCCCATGTGCCACAGCTACTAAGCCTGTGTGTGTGAAATACTGAAGCCTGCATGCTCTAGGGCCCATACTCTATAATAAGAGAAGCCACTGAAATAAGAAGCCCATGCACCTCAACTGGAGAGTAGCCCCCACTTGCTGCAACTAGAGAAAAGCCTGTGCAGTTACGAAGACCCAGCACAGCCAAAGATAAAAATAAATAAATAAATAATTTAAAAAAAGAGTTTTGGTCACTATTGCTTTTGTTAGAGATTCAAAGCATTTTTCTTTCTATCCCTGCCCTTTAAGTTCACTCGTTTGTTGTTTCTGACTGGGTCAATGGAGTGTGGGTTTTCCCTGAATTTCTAACTGTTTCCCACAGCTTCTGTGGGGCCAGGCCCATGGCTGTGCATTTCAACAGTGACTACATACTTAGGCTTCTCAGTGGTGGGGTTGAAAGGAGCTTTGATATCCTGGCTGCCTCCCAAAACTTTCCTCCACCTTTAGGAACGTTTTTCTTTATCATTTCCTGCTGAGACGCAGCAACAATAAACATGCACACATGTAACGTGGGATGAAGCATATTAGCACTAGCTTGTTCATCATTCATTCATTATTGAGACCAGTGGATCTTACAAGTTTGTGTCCACTAGGGGATGAGATACAGGCTGATACCAAGAGGGGCTCAGGTTGGCAGAGGAAGCCACAGGGGAAGCATAGGCAGGGGATAAGATTCATTATTTTTCTACAATTTTGCTTGGATTACTTTTGCCAGTAGTAGAATTATAAAAGGTACATATCATACCTTTTATAAGATTATAAAAGGTACATGTGTGTGTGTGCTAAGTAGTTTCAGTCGTGTCCAACTCTTTGCATCCTTATGAACTGCAGTTCACCAGGCTTTTTTGTCCGTGAGATTCTCCAGACAAGAATATTGGAGTGGGTTGCCATGCCCTCCTCCAGGGGATCTTCCTGACCCAAGGATTGAACTCGTGTCTCTTACATCTCCTGCATGCATGTCATGCTACAAAAAACACAAAATTACCTAATATTGGCCAATAACTTTCTGTATTTTGATTGCAGAGACTGTGAACACAACAATACAATTCTCCTTCAAGGGAATACGATTTTCTAAGGTATTGTTCAAGTCGTTTTGTACTTCTTTAATCTTTTGTAGTAACAGATGTGTTAAGAATTTGAAAAAAGCAGTCCACAACTTCTAAAAATATTGATTCAAGATTAAGATGTTCAAGGTTTTTATTTTTAACTTTTTCTGATTTTGTATGTTTTGCTATTTCTTCTTTCTGTAGAATATGGAAAAATAGAAAACGTACACCAAAGGAAACCCTTTTTACTTGTTTTTTAGTAATTTTGTTTGTTTATTTAGTTTTGGCTATGCTGGGTCTTTGTTGCTGTGCAGGCTTTTCTCTGGTTGCAACGAGCGGGGCTCCTGTCTAGTCCTAGTGTGTAGGCTTCTCATTTCGGTGGCTTCTCTCCTTGTCGAGTGTGGGCCCTAAAGTGGGTTTCAGTTGACACCTGTGGGTTTGGGAGTTGTGGCACATGGGCTTAATTGTTCCATGGCATGTGGGATCTTCCTGGACCAGGGATCAAACCCATGTCTCCTGCATTGACAGGTGGGTTCTTTACCACTGTGCCACAAGGAAAGCCCAAGAAAACTCTTTTTAAATTTCAACATACATTGCTAACAGTTATGCAAATGCTCATTGTTAATACAATGAATGATCTTTGGGTGAAAGCATCATTGTGACCATTGTGTGTAACTCGGTACCTGCCTCCATGGGTAATAATGATGGGCAATTTTAGATATTTGCATTAGAAGTGCAATGAAACTTTGTACATTTCACTTCTGGTTAACTATTTTAAAATAAACATTAATATTACATATTCTTTACCTATTTTGTTTCAAATTATCAATATTCCTAATGTTTGAAAATTTCGTAGGCTGGTCTAGAAAACTGAGAAAGTATTAAGTAGCTTTCTGCTAGTGAGACAAAATTCTTATAAAAGTCATGCAAGATAGAAGCATCTAACATTTTATATTACTTGTATTTCATTTTAGGGACAATACAACTGTATTACAGAAGCCATTGAGGGAAACACTGATGAAAAGCTCTTTTGCTTGAACTTTACTGTCATACATTACCCTGATTTCAATTAGAATAAATCAAGTATTTGCTTTTATTTTTCAAAAGTTTTATTCTTCACTTAAAATACTTTTTACACTGTGCATTTGTTTGCTAGGTCTGCCATAGCAAAGACCACAGACTAGGTGGCCTCAACAATATTTATTTTGTTCTGGAGGCTAGAAATCTGAGATCCAGTTGTCAACAGATTGGGTTCCTTTTGAGGCCTCTCTCCTTGGCTTGTAGATGGCCTTTTTCTCCCTATGTCTCCCTATGTCCACGTCGTCTTGCCTCTGGGCGTGTAACCCTAATCTTTTATAAGGACACCAGTCGTTGGTTTAGGGCCTACCAGAGTGACATCATTTTACCTTAATTGTCTCCAAATCTAGTCACCCTCAGAGGTACTGGGGTTAGGGCTTCAGCTTGTGAATTATGAGAATTCACAGTTCAGCCTGTAGCACACAGGTAATAAGCATAATCTCTCCAGCCGCTCGACTTCTCTCTGTTTTCTGCATCTGCTTTGGAACAAGTCGCCAGCATTGGTTGCCTGGACTCCGCTGCTGCCTCCTGGCTGACCACCCTACACCTGGTTGGGTGCCTCAGGTAAGTTATCCTTCACAGAGGCAGTTTCAGTAATACTTTCAAAATACAGCTCATGGTGCACATGGAAGAAAACAAAAACAAGCCCCTCCTGTGGCTTTTGGTCCCTCTTGGGATAAAGTTGGAGCCTTTTGGAGGGTCTGCTAGTCCCTACCCACCTTTTCCCGCCCCAGCCCCCTTTCCCACCACCCTTCCCTTGCTCTCTGTGTCCCAGAATGTGCCATACGCCCTCCTACTCCAGAGCCTTCACCCACACTGTTCCCTCTGCTTCAGTTACATGCATCCACTCTACCTGACCCTTATCCCATATCAGTAAAAGGTGTGGATCTTCTCTGGCTCAGATGCTATTTTCTCAGGCTATTTTTACCAGGTAGCACACGGCACACCTATTGCACTTTTGATACTGGGCAGGGGCAGTCCTGAGTAAAACTCTACGGAAACTCTGTCACATGGAGCCAGGCTTTCAATCTCCTGTGGCTCTCTTGGTCCCCCAGATCGCTTTCCTCCACCCACCTTTATCTCATCCAGGCAGGGGCCGCCTTACTTTGTGATATGCTTTTGTCGACCTCGGTTACTTCCTTCCAGTTCTTAACACTCTTTTTGTCATGATAGCAGTCATCCATCACCAGACTAAGCTCCATGAGCCCAGGCAGGGTAGTCAGCTCAGTTTTGCTTCCCACTCTTGACTAGCATCTAGCATAGTACTTAAGCTTGAGTTTGCTCTGAATCCATATTTGTTGAATGGTTAAACAAACATTTATACAATATTCAAATAATACATTATCTATAGAACAGTATTCACGCAGTCATTTAACGAAAATTTATTGAGTACCTGCTATATGTCAGGCTGGATGCTGGGGAAACAGCATTTAACAACCCAGATGAGAAATATTCCAGTTCGTACTGAGTTGATATTTTTGTGGAAAGAGACTGGCAACTAAATTACTTTAGAAGCAAACATGCTGTGTTAAGTGCCGTGAACAACATTAAAGCAGGGAAGAGGGTAGGGATGGAGGTGATATGGTTTTACTTTCAGATAGGGTGGTCAGGAAAGGCCCCACCAAGAAGATGATATTTGAAAGAGATGAGGTAGCAGCCCATGTGGCTTTCTAGAAGTAAATGCTTTGTAGTTGAGAGAACAGCTGATTTCAAGGGCTCAGGGTCAGAGTGTGTTCTTCCTTGAGGAGGAACAGGGAGCTGTTCAAATGAAGGGAGTGTAGGGAGATGCCTTCAGAGAAGTGTGTGTGTTGGGGGTGGGTAGGCATGTGCTGTGGAGTTTGATGGGCCATTCTTAGGACTTTGACTGTTGCTCTGAATGAGATGGAAAGTTCCTGGAGTTTGTTTGAGAGAGATTGACATTGGTTCACATTTTAAAAAGGCAGCTGTCTACTTAGACGTGAGAAAAAACAGAGAGGTTTTTGCAACCATCTAAGTAGGGAAGGAAGGAGGAGGAAGTTGAGAGGATTTTGAGTAATCCAGGTGAAAGGTGATGGAGGAGGTGGTGATAAATGATCTAAGTTGGATATATTCTGAAAGTTGAGACAACTCCAAAAATACTTCTGCTGATGAGTTGGATGGTAGAGTATGAAACAAAGAGAGGAGTCAGGGATGATTACAAATGGAAAGATATAGTTGCCATTACTTGAGATGGGGAAGTCAGGGAGGAGCATGTTTTAGGGGAGAAAAATCAAGAACTTTGTTTTGGACATGTTGAGATATCTATTAATCCAAATGGAGCCTATGGGAAGGCAGTGGATAAATGAATTTGAAGTTCAGGAGAGAGTTCTGGGCTGGAGATGGACATTTGGAAGTTGCCAACATGTAGAGAGAAGTGTTGACAGAGAAAATAAGAGGTCCAAGGATTGAGCCTTGGGGTTCTCCCTCATTGGGGGTGGGGGTGGGAGGTTTAGGAGAAGCCAGCAGAAGTGAGGGAGTGGCCTTGGAAGTAAGAGAAAACCTGGGATGCTGGCCTGTTGGAAGTCAGGTGAAGAAGCTCTTTAAATGATTTTGATCTGCCCATCTGTTAAATAAGATGAAGACTGAGTGTTGACTTTTGGATTTTGCAATATGGAGTCTGTGATTTGATAATGTCACCAATAGAGAGTTCCCAAGCATTGATTCCAATCTTGTGCCATTCAAATCTGGGGGTCATTATTAAGCTCTCTCTCTCTCTTTTTCCTTTTCATACTGTTAAAACTCAACATTCAAAAAACTAAGGTCATGACATCTTGCCGGGAGCCATTATGGGAGGTCCCGCCCGTGACGAGGTCATGAAGAAAATACCGGGCAGGCAAGGCCGTCGGGATCCCATCCATGAGAAGGTCATGAGGAAAATACCTGACAGGCAAGGCCGTCTAGGATAAGGGACCCTCCAGGTTGGCCTCGGCCTCTACTCCACCCTGTGTCCTCCCCCCTTTTCTGCTGTTGGTCTTGTTCGCCCTGCTGCGGATTCTTGTGTTGCCTGCCGAGAGCTCTCCTGCTCCTCTTTCACTGAATGAGGACCAACTTAAAA